CCACATGATCGTGCAGTGAAAAAAAAACAAGATTTCACTGCAAAAAAAGGTTTATTTGAGAATGCTAGCACCAGAATATATATATATGCAAACAATAATGTGAAAGTTAACGACTTAGGATGAAAGAAGTAGGATGATCCGTTCACAGGTACCGCTGAAATGTTACGGCTGAAGCTCTGCTATCAATTCTGCTTCTGAAAAGAAGATGGGATGTGAGAGGAAACTGGCAAGAATAACCCCCAATTAATTAGCAAACATTCTAAGATATTACTGTTAGGCTTCTTTTTTCGGCTGTTGCATGACGTAAGCAACTGTATAATTCAGGAGAAAGCAAAAGAATGGAATTAATACTCACGAGGTGCTGGTGGACCTAGGCTAGACTACTAGAAGGCTATATATTCGCGTGTTCTTACCTTGGTTCGAAACATAACCTTAACGTCAATTTCAAGTAAATGCATCCTTTGGGATAATGAGTAAGTTTCTGCAGTAAAATTTCGACACTGGATCTCCAGGACCTTGGGATCCTTGAAGTTACATTTCTTGAGATGCCTGCGTTTTAGTTTATACAAAAAACCTTAACCTTAAACTTGAGAAAAGCCGTCTACGTTAGGGATGTTTCTATTACTTTGGGAAGCACGGAACAGAAGCTGGTACGAAGACTTCTGCGGCGGAGACTGGTGGGGTTCAAACAAAGACCCCTTGGCTCACGCTGACCCGTTCACGTTCACTGTGTCACTGAAATCCGCCCGGCAGAGGTGACACTGAACACCTCCTCTTTCTCTCCGCTGCGTCGTTCGCAGAGGTAGGTATTTATCCCATTGTCCTCAATTAGACATATTACTCAAACAGAGACAGAGCATGCTTAAATCCTCGAGAACCTGTGTGAACTGGCCTCCTTACAGCCAAATCAACCAAAGGCCTAATACTTTTACGCAGGTGCCGGAGTTCTGATTTGCGAGGGCTAGCACGTGACCATGACCAGCACAGAAACATACATATCATTTTCACAATCCCACAAAGAAGAGGAAGAAGAAGGCACAAGGACATGGACCGATTTATTTTGAGACTGACGTTTCGGACACTCTCTCGGTTCCATCGTCAGAGTAACTGGGTAGTTGTTCTTGTTCGCCGGGACTGTTGCAGCCTTGCCGCGCGCCTGTTATTATATCCGGGCTCGACGCACGAACTTGGACCTGACTGATCGATAATGATTGACCGTAATACATGTAGTGAACTGTATTGTCTCAGAG